TTTATATGGAAATGCCATTATATTAATGCTACCTACTTATTGGAGGTTTATTTAAAATGGCTCTGTTTTTACTTTGGCACTTTTCCTTCAGAAAAAAGGGGACAAAGTGACTATTTGAATATCTTTGATGTGCCTTTCAGTGTGTCTTCCTGATGCAGATTCACAATCGGTTCTCTGCCTGTCTGTCGGCTTTCTGCAGGAGAGATAGTGCTCTCTTCATTACGCGCTTCATTAATTTAAATGCTAATTGATTCTGCGAGGGCCTTTCATACTGAGGGCCAAGTCCCGTCTTCCCTGATTGATTGTGTGTTTCTTCGTTAGTGTGTGTTAGGGTGTCTTTTTTGTGCACCTGCTGGATGCTGGAGTGATACATCCTGACAGAACAGCCTCTCCTGCCTGTCTGTCTGCCTCGAGTGTGGCACTGATATGGTTTGAGTGCTTCAAGCTAGAGAGACAAGTACTACACTAAAACACCTCCTCACACACACACACAACACCCGCATCCAGGCTCAGCAAGCAGTTTTAGGACCTGAGTTGTAAAAATAAAAGCACAACAAATGTGAATAAAGACAGTTGGCATACTGTATGTATGGACTAGATGGATAAAACAAAGGATGCAGGGGCAGTTGAATGATCCATGCTCTGTTGCTAGGAAACACTGGGGCTGGATGGTAGAGATAAACGCTGGGATCCACCCCTGGCAGTGAGCAGAGGGTGGGACAGAGTGAATGGGTAAGAACGAGAACGTGGAGATAAGAGGGGAGGGGGTGAGTCATGTGACATAGACACATAGTAGATAAGCTTTACTTTTGCCCTCCATCATCCTCCATTTCCCCCTTCTGTTAATCCAAAAAGCAAAAGTTGGTCAGGGTTTGTTTGTTGTCATCAGGGGTCTGCAACGGCCACATCCAGTTTTACACATTTTAGTCATCTGATCTTGTCTAGACATGTTTTGAGATGTTTAAAATGTGTCTGATAGGGGATTTCCACAAATACCTCAATAACAAAACACCTCAACATACTTATATGCACAACATTCATTTTCAAAAGTTTAACTGAAGGTTGATATTCAGTGTGCGTGTGCTGTAGGTAAAGTTTCCACATCACACATGAAACCTGCCTCCTTCAGCAGATGAATGTGCATCACTTTGCTCAGTGAACAACAAGCTTTAAGGGATGCCCCCATCTGTTGGTCCTCCTGAGGGGTTTTTCCTTTTTCCACTGGGGAGAGGGGTTCCTGTGGATAGTGGATGTTATATTTCAAAGGTTTTTCAGGCAAAATGAAATAAAAATTTTAAAAAAGGGGAACAAAATGGCAATTTAGACTAATTACTGGGTTATTTAATTTGGGAATTTAAGAGTATCAACTTCACAAGGAGAAAAAAAAGATTGTTACAATGATAATACAAAGGACCCAGCTAAGCTCATTGAAGCCCCCACATTATGAGATACAATGCAGTGGTAGCTACAGACCTGATTCACAGTTCAGACATACTCACACTGGTGATCGAGCATGTGAGCCTCCAAGCAGAAACTCTCCAATCATTCAAATTATTTCCCTCAGTGATTACTTCAGTACAGTCCTATAAGTCTGTTAAATTCATAGCAGGATGTTTTTCCCCCAATCTGTTTCCTGTTTCACTTGAACACATCATTAGCAGCAGAAATTAGAGTCTAAATTTAACTGTGAAACTTAACTTTTGGGCAAACTGTCTTATCAGCGAAGGAGCCTCTATAGCTGCTGGCAGGAGGGAAACCACGGCTGCCACCATGTAAGCACAGGAAACAGCTTGATCTCATGCTGTCAGCCCTCATCACTCCATTCGACTCTGGTCAGCGTGGCACAAAAAGACAAAAGGAGGAGAAGAGCGCTTCCTCCATCAAATGTGAGGAAAGTGGCAAGCTCTGAGTGCAGGTCGTGATTAGTTATGAATGGGATGCACTGCTCTGATTGGTGGAGAGAGCTGGGGGTCAGGCGCTCTGCCAGTAGCTCATACAAGGCTGCTGATTGCTATTCATCCACAGATTACAGTAATTTAGATCTGCAGCAGGCCAAAGGGGCCCGCGTCTGGCAGGACGGCTGCTGCTGGTCTGGGGGGTGCAGTTTGGTTTGCTTAGTGATTTTATTTGTCAAAAATAATAGAAAAAGAAACAAATGTGTAGAATTTAATCAGAAACCATTAGAGTCACCATTGAAGAAAGGATTTGTTCACGTTCTTGGTTTTGAGGAAACACAAATATCTGCTTTTAAAGACAGAAAATATGATACACTATTGAAAGATTTTTTTTAATTCAGTATATTTCAAAATTGCAGCTGTTTACATACTTAAAAATAACTGGTTTTTAAGTCTAAACATAGTAATTCATCTTGCCAGAAATCATTTTACAACCCTCTGTTTTTTCAAGTAATTAATATCTTGTTCTGGAATTAAACACTTTATTTACAGCCATAATTATTTCCCCACAGGGTGCACGTTCAAAAGTACAACATGCATAGCTATAAAGTCTCATTTTATACAATAAAAAAAAGCCACGAATGGTGCATCAGTTTTGTTCCCTTTGTCTTCCAAGTGCATGTTTGGATATGCTAAAACCTTCTAAAATCGAAGCTGATGAGGCACTTGGCTGGTTTTTCAAGAAGCGATGGTGATGATTAATCAAGGAAGTGAGCAGCAGTGACCTTGCCACCAACACACATTACAGAGTCAATCGCTCTATTGATTATGGTAGCACAATAAGCCAATACTTCACTGCACATTTTCTCTGCTTTCACTTGTGTGCGCATGATTTCTGTGGATGTGTAAATATGGCAGCAGGAGCAGATGAAACTGATTTGATGAATGATGCTTTGGTTGATACCATCTTTCTACCAAGCTCATTACTTCATATTGAAAAAAATAAATCATGTTTAGCACAACATTAGATTCACATTTATTGACAAAAAAGATAACATTTTACAGATCTTTTCTACAGCAAAGTCTAAAGTATTTTCACTGAAGTATCAAAGACAATCATTTGTGTAAAGGGCACAAGTGTACATTCTGACGGACGTCTAACATCTCCACAATAAATGCTGGACATTGAGGACGACAATAAGAGGTTCATGACCACACTTTGTTCGCGACAGGAAACAAATGTTCCTGAACCTGTTCATCACTTAGTTTTGAGTAATTATATAGATAACACTGCTTCAAAGATACTGTATCTACTCCAAGGGAAGCTTCCTGTTCCTTTCGCACACACAAACACATTTACATACTGTATATACAAACAAAAAGTCCATAGAAAACTGCTGTAGGGTGTGAACTTGTGCCCCCACTTGTATTTTCGTGACACTATATAATGCTGTTCAGTGTGTGTGTGTGTGTGTTGTGTGTTTTGACAATAGGTGTCCATGTGCTCAGCTCCTCGGGGTGTTTGGACTCACACTGCTTGCCCTCTGGGATGCTTCTTCAGAGGTGACCTAGTTTTCTTGATTGTCAGCAGAAGGCAGTTTCATCAGATCGCTTTGTGCCGAGGCACTGAACTGTGCCTGGGCTCCTGGAACAGGCCAATTGGACTTGTGTAATGAAGCTTATCACACACATGCACACACACACACACACACACACGTGCGCACGCTCCTGCTGCTGTTGTCAGGGTCTAGGGGAGCACAATTTATAACAGCCATTTATTCATTTATTGCCTTCTTTATAAGAGAAATGTGATTCTGATGCGTGCACCACATTGCCATTATGGTCCATTATGGGGCGGTGACAGAGATGGAGCAGAGGGTGTTGATAGATGTTGGTGTCAGCCTGACTGTCATTACTCCATATATCGAGTGAAGTACTCGAGACACTTCTCACAAAATGGCCGCGGAGAACCAACATGGCTCCGCCTGAGAGGGGTAAATGACTCACTTCTGACGACTGGTAGAAAATGTTCACATTCATTTGCTGCTCGCATGTGTTTGGAATAACTTACTGGTTTTGAGTAGCAACACAATCACAGAAAACAGTCCTACTTCAGTGTTTTCAGTGCCTCTTTACAGCAGAGTGCATGAATGAGCAATATTTACACAGGAACTCTATCCTATTCTTCAGGAGAAACAGATATAAAAAGGTCCATCAAAAAAACATGAAGAAATATGTACAAGACCACTGCAAATTCCCACACCATGTATGAGCGACTGAACACAACATACTGTTACACCAAGTGTAGCAACTCCACGTCGTCCTAAAGTCTCTCTAGTCTACTCATCAAATACAGAAGAAAACATTGGTATTACAGTCATTTAAATAACAATAATCCCAATTTACCTCAAGACTGACTCACTTCACCAATTTCAGCTCCATCCACCTGTTTAAAAATGAGGAAGTGAAGACCAGCTTCATTGTGTGTCTTTAACAACTGCCTTTAGAGGTGCAGTCACTGTCCTTGAGGTTGTGACACCAAATCCCTTGGTATAAAAAAAAAGTCTATTTGAGCACTGTTCTATATGTCAGGGGTCCTTGTTAGTTCATGGATCTTTATAAGGCCCTGGAGATCGCAGCCTTTCACAGATAAAGGGCATATCAGTCCATCAGGGTCTCTCTCCCTCTTTGAATGGCACAGACAAAGAAAGGAGCATACACAAAGGAATCTTCCACATGTAGTAAATAAAAACTTAATATCAGAGCTGCAGATGGCCAATAGAATGAAGCTGTGAGCAGGAGAGGAAGAGCAAGTAATAAGGATCAGTCAGTTGATTAATTGATCAGTCAGTTATTGCCGTCTCACTCCATGTCCAGGTTAGTTTATGTTCTACAAGCTTTCAGTTTTCACTGTATTTTTTGTTTTTATTATTGGTATTTTATACAAAGCGTGATACAAGGGTTTTCTGTCCATGTTAGACATTAAACAGTTTAATATCTCCAATAAGCCAATTCTGTAAAAGAGAAAACTTGAGGTAGGGGATTAGGGAAACCTAAGAAAACTGACTTTTCTCCTTCCCATTCATTTCTGTGTGGAACAGGCTAAGACGTATTCACCTCCGGTTATGATCTGACCAACCTTCTTCTCTTTGAGGCTCTCCAGTGTCCAGCCGCTTTGAGAGAGGGGGTGAGCCTAATCTCTCATTCAGGAAATACTGCATGTTTGTATTTGTGCGTTATAAACCGTGGTGAAATATTACAAGCAGCAGAGAAAGAATGGGCAGTGAGAGAGGATAAGGAATGTAAAATGTCTAATAAAACCTACGTACAGCAGTTTATGTAAATGCCATTTCCTGTTCTGTGTTTTTAGTAATACCGAGTCAATGTGGAAGCATTGAGAATGTTTGCTGTTGAAATTATGTGTTAGCATTCACTAACTACAGCTCCCATGAATCCACAGTATCATTGCTATCTTAACACCTATGGCTCAGTCACTGGAGTTGCAGTTTGAAAGGTCAAGAACTACACTTCACTGTCAAAATGAATGTTGTTTTCTCTTGTATAAAACAAATTTACTGCCAAATGCAGAATCAGAAATCAGTTTAGCAAAGAGTACGGACAGAAAACCCTGTGTTTATGTTTTAGATTTTTACAAAAGACTCTCAGTCCACAACAAAAACACTGTCATGAGACTTTGGCTCGCTATAGCCAGAGGTACTCTGCATCCCCATCTGCTTGCTCATAGTTGGAGATGCTTGAGGGAAGATGGCAAACCAAACCACCTATCCACTTTCACTCACACGCTCCTTTTTTCTGTGCAGCAGGTTCTCTGTCAGAACTAATGAGTCACATCAGCAGCAAGAGAGAGAGATAGAGAAAGAGGGCAATGCATGTTCATCTGATCACAGACAGTTTTTAGACTGTGCTCTTGGCAGATTCTTCATGTTTCTGCTTCCTCCATCTGTCTCCTTCTCCCTTGTTGCTCAAAGGTTGAACAGAACAGAAGTAGAGAGGAGGCTGCACGGCTTTGATTGCGTTTTTTTTTTTTTTTTCTGGCACTGCCGTCCTCATCTTTAGCAACCTGTTCCCCGATCTGTCCATCCTTCAGCCTATCCACAGCCTATGTATCACAGGCCTCTGCTGGCATTGGGTTTCATCTTGATGACCCACTCTCCTCCAGGGTTACTGTTGTACAAATCCAGAAGATGTGTTTCAAGGTCCAGACAGTGTTCACCTGCAGAAAACACACAAACAAGCTCTAGTTGTTGGAACTGTTTGTTGCTGACCATTTCATTAGATTATTCTGCTGATTATCTTAATTTATCAACTGTTTGACTATGAAGTATAAAAAATTTGTTAAAAAGTTTCCCAGTCAACGCCGACATCTGAAAACCTACAGTACATAAGACTGAGGAAGGCAGCAAATATTCACGGCTTTTAATTATAACAATAGTGATTTTAATTATAGCTATTATAATTATTTTTCTGCGAAACAGATATTTGGTTAACTGACTAACTGTTTCAGCTTCAGTACCAACTGAAGACATATGCTGGTATCAAAAAAGCATCAAGTCAAAATGTCCATCACAAAGTTGAACTGAGTGACAGTTTCTTACTGTCTACAGTGTCAGCTCTCCTGTGAGAGCAGACATGTGTAATAAGCATTTGTCTGCTCTGATCACTGCAGATGCACAGCTCGTGCCTCTTTGACCCTTGCACAGTTCATTACATAAGACCTTGTTACCCTCATAAGCTCAATGGACGCAAAGACGTGCAAATGCCAGCGGTGCTCTTATCAGAAAAAAACGGTGCAGCCACTTTGACTTACCGATATTACCTCCCACTTCATAGAGGGCATAGTCTGGATACACCACCGAGCCATTTCTGTTGAGAGACGTAACACTTATGTATCATGTTTGGTTTTTCCATAGGGAAGGACACTGTCTCACACTCATAAGGTTTCATTTTTAGAAGAAATATTCATCAGGTGACAACAGTGAAAAAATGTTTTCACTTAACTGCTACACAGATTATGTAGCAGCCATTATACAGTCATTAGTGTTTTACAAATCTGAGCAGACTTATTTCATGTAGCATACAGCTAGAGACCTTGACACAATCACAAGTTTTGAGGGATAGGCTTTCATGTTATATTAAAGATGTGGTATCTTATGGGTGCTTTACTGTGATGAACCTACTGGAAACCAGAAGAGTTTGTACATTTATGAATACCTGCACTTAATACAAAAAATTCCTGACTAACTAAAAAGTGGAAAGCAGAGGTTAGCCTGTGGTCAGTTTAAGTTTGTGCGGTACTGTACCTTCGCATTTTGCCTTTTCCATTATCAGGGCTACGGAGGAACTGCCGGTGAAACTCTGCAAGCAGGTCTGACACTCGTGAACTGATGTTGAGCTGGAACTCCATAGTGTCACTCGTCAGATCCCTGACCTCGATCTTAACGGTACGGCATGGCTGCAGGACAGGAACAGAACAGGAAGGAACAGAAGTGAAACGGTGACATCTCCCAACCATACAACTTGTTAAATTTTAATAACAACATGGAAGTATGCAGCTTACATAGTTATACTGTCAGCTAAAGGTAAATTCAATCCATTTTTTGAGGTTCAGTTCATTTAGCATGTTTTGAAGGTTACAGTAAGTCTAACTTTTTAATGATGTGTGAAAGTATTACTGTCCAGTATTTGCTTTTGATGGATATATCAAGATAAGACAAAGTTGCTACAAGAATATAGATTTACTGTAATAATTCATGGCTGTGATTCTCAATATTATATCTTTTATTGGTTTGAATATCAGATAGTTTGTACAGTGCAACATTAAACCCTACTCACCTCTGAGGTGTTTTTATCAGGCTTTTCCCGACTGTCTGTGTGGATCTTCTTAAGCAGGTTCTTGATGTGACGATCGTAGAACTGGTAACGCCGGTTACTGTTCTCATTGAGCTTACGCACCTGGCTCATGAGGAAATTAGGGACCTGATGGAAAAAAAAAAAAGAAATTAAGCAGCATTAGTTACAGTTAAATCTTCATTCCAAGAAGCATGTTTATAACGTGGTTACAGTTTGACAAATTTTCTTAGGTTGTAATTTCATAATGAGAGATATCTGTAGAGCTGGACAGAACGTGGCCGAGTGTAGCAGATTGTACAGGGAGAGGGAGTGCTGGGCGGAGCAGAGCGGAATAATTTGAAGTTTCATGCTCATGCCATCTTAAGTTACATACTGTAGCTTTAAGAATTCAAGCTCAATTTGTGATAAGTGTTGCTTAATTACTTTACTTCTAACAAACATTTTTAAAGACATTATGGGGGAAAATGGCTATGAGTACATGTAGAAAAGTATCTGCCTTCTAAATAACTGAACTACAGGATTTTGTTAACCCAACAGTCCCCTTGTTGTCCGACCACTCACGTCACCTACCGTCCAGAGCAGGTCCTGGTATCGGATGAGGAGCCTCATGACGTCGGCTGCCTTCTCCGCTTGTCCTTTCTCAGCCCCCTCAGTGAGTCTGCTGGGGACAGCCTTATGGAGGAAGAGGTTGGGAGCCATGATGGTCGCTACAGCCCACAGGTTCATCCTGTTCCTCCTCTCCCTGGAGACCACCTTACTGAGGAACTCAAGGAGGGCCTGAGGGACATGCACATGGAGACATTCACACAAATGCACAATACTGAAGACATTTCAGTTGCTTTAGAAACCTTTTTATTTTTTTTAAATCAAACAGCGTATTGTGGAGCACTAGTTTCTGTAGAGTTAAAAGACACACTGGTATTTTTAACTGAGCAATGTGTAAATGTCTTTCAAAAGAGAAGGAGCCCACTTATACTGACTCATCCGTAACACCTCTACAGAGAAGTCTGTTAATGCACAGTAAGTTTCAGCTGCCTCCACTGGAGTCAAAGTAATTAGTTCAGGTGGGTTTTATGCTTGTGGTTGTTATAAGCAGAGCTGAATTTTACTGACACACTTGTGCCAGTGAAAGTGAGTCATGGTTAATTCAAGTCATTATATAACAGAGCAGAATGTTTGAATGTGGATTAAAAGCAGTACAGTATAGCCATGTTATAAAACAGTGTTTTGGTCGGTCATGTTTTTAAAATGTCATTCTGGATATGTTTCTGACAACACTAAGACGACCATGTTGGGTTTGGTGAACAATACTAAATACAGTTTTCGTTGCTGTAGTTGTTCAAAACCCAGTTTAACCCTTTCAAGCTATGTGAACCACATTTCTTTTGTTGTGCTAGAGGAAAGTGGCTTGGTCTGTACCTTAAGTGTGTTCCTATTGGGCTCAGGCAGCAGTAGGATGAGCAGGTTCAACATGTGGAGCTTCTGCTTCAGGTCTGTGATGTCTGAAGGAGGAGGAAGCAAAGGTAAGGCAGGTCGGACACATACACACACAGTCTTCATTTCCTCTGTTTGGCTAAGAATAATGGGATGTCTAAAGATTAATGGCACTGTGACAGGTGGTCATTAGGTTTGTTAGCTTATGTCTCTGTGGTCACACGTCATTTATCACTTTGCACTGAGTCTCCTCACAAATTATACATCAGCGAGCGATGCTTCAGATTACATTAATATCAATCCAAGTTTTATTAAGGTGAATCTAATATGAAAATAGCTGATTCTTTATTCTGTTCTGTCAGGGTGCATATATTTGTGGCAGTGCAGGGACACTTTTTAAAAGGCTAACAACTTGTTCATCTTAATCTTGATTCCGCAGTTTGAGCAGAAAAGATAAGCATCACACCGTGCTGTGATCATGGTCAAAAGACTTGGGTAATTAATTTATGAACCCCGGTGAGCTGTCCGGAAAAGTAGGCAGCAGCTCAGTAACTTTTGAAGATACATCAGATCTTTTGACAGCCTACTGTATCAGCAGAGTTTCAGAAAGAATTTTATCTTAGTTACAAGTGTGTAGCATTATTTGTTGCCTCACAGTAGCGAGTCTTCTGTGAGCCCGATGAACTTGAACATTCTGGATCACCACATCCAGAATGTTACTTGGATCCAGATCAGACTTTGATGTGTCGTCGATCTCATGTGGATGCTATTGTGCAAATTTTGCCCAAACATTGTAGGCATTAAGTATGGAGTTTTGGAGTATGGAGAAACAAAAATACTGACCCGTGTCCTACACTGGTGAAGAATCATTTTAAAAAATTCCTGGATCTGGTTGATGAGCTGGATCAGCACCAATGGATTGTTCTGTTGTGGTATAACCTACCTCTCCAAAAATTTCATCCAAATCCATTCATTATTTCTTGAGTTAAGCTATGAACAATCCAACAAACAAACAAGCAACTGCCTGTTTCAGTGCTTACACTATATTTTAGAACAAACGAGAATTACGAAGCTGCACGTTGGATTATATAACAACAACATGGGGTCTAATAGCCTTTTGGAGACTGGAGCTACAGCTCCTGGTCTTCATCACATCTGCTAAAAGCTGAAAGTAAATCCAACAAGAATTGTCAAGTAGTGTTCACCGACCTCTGACAGCGCTGAAGGTGTTGAGATACTCAGCAGTGAGCAGAGGAGCGGGAAGTTCCCTGATGAATTTCTTCAGCAGTGCAGCAGCATCATTTGGACTCACTTCATCCCAGCTGACCTGCCCTGAGTAGAAGTTGGTCTCCAAGCTCTGCTGCAGCAGCTGCAGACAGACAGTAATGTTTTCAGAACAGCACAACCACAGTCGACACCTGGCTCCCATGTATTAGAAATGGCTCCATCAATTACTTTACACTATGTGGTGTTATTAGTGGTCTAACAATGTCCGTCACACAAAGAAGTGCGTGAATTGTGTCTCATTTTGAAGATAAGTTGTGACGGATGAATCAGGGGCATCTACGGTTTCTCATATACAAAACATTCATTGAAATTTCATTCTTGATCAGGCTTTTTCGAACTTTAAGTTTGGCCCACGGACTCCCATTCATTCCTGCATCTATTTCTGTCTAAAACCTGAGAGAAATCATGTTGAGCTCTGCCAAAAAGGACAAAATGGCTGAATATGCTGAGGGAAGTATGATTTATTTAATAAAATATTTAATGGACAACTAAAAGTACAAAATGCAGTGGACCTAGTGGATCAGTCATCTGGTTTGCTCCCTCAGAGCTGACTGGCGCCCTCTTCTGGCAGTTTAGATTTAAACGATTCACCATTAGCTGTACATGTGGTCAATATTAGACTATCTGGCAGCAGCAAGTGAAAAAAAAAATTGTCTCACTGAAACTTGCTTTTCTAAATGTCATCTGTAGTTAAAAAGTCAGTACTCTGGCTGATTTTTCTCTTCACTCTTCAAGTATTCGACAGTGTCACATGGTTACCATTTAACTCATGAATCATTTTTATTTTCTTGGTTTTAGGCATCAGGCACAAAAAGGGACAGTTTCTGTGATTAAATAATTTGGAGTAGAGTGAGCGTTGTGTGACAGAAATGAGCATAGATCCAGATTTTGTACCTTGATTCTGGACTGAGAACCTGGAACCCGCAGGATCCCCTCTGAGTCGACCCCTTTCTTCTCCAAAAATGACAACAACTGCGCAGAGAAAGAGAGGGAGAGAGACATTAGCAGATAGTTAAGCAGGGGTAGATAAGAATGTCTTGCTCACCTCTGCTGGTTATTCACAGTAACTGCTGCTACATAAAGGGTGTGGTTGAAGCATTTCACAGCCACACTCAGACTGTTACAGTATGAGCTCTATCTGAAGATGCGGTTTATGGATTCAACAAAATGTGCCGACTACATACTAAGGAAAATATAATCACAAAGCTGCAAACAGTCATCTTGTGTCACACCAGGGGTTAATAGCATACACTTTAAAATAAACTGTTTTGTGGACACTAAGCACTCCATGCAAAACTAACCTTGTACACAGGTTTTGTATTACTGCAACTACTTTGTGCACTTCATTTATTAATTGTAAGTTAAGCAAAAAAAAGTCTTCTGAGGACATACAGTATAAGACAGATCTATTTTGGGTTCTCACCGCCTGCAGGAAGAGAGGGGTTGAGATGTTGGGCTTCCTTTTCTGATCGTTCTCCAGCAGTGTGGACAGTGGCACCCCAAACAGCGTGCTCTCTGTGAAACCAAAGTGTCACTTAGTTGCCCACCTTTCTCTGCTTTATGTCAACATTTGGGGCGGCTGTGGCTCAGGAGGTAGAGTGGGTCGTTTTCTAACCGGCTTGTTGAGGTGTCCTTGAGCAAGACACTGAACCCCCAGTTGCTCCCGGTGATGTCACCGGTGTGTGAATGCGTGAGTGCTTGGGAGTGCAAATGGGTGAATGGCCGAATAATGTGAAAGTGCTTTGAGTGTGCTGTAAAAGCGTAGAAAGGTGCTATACAAGTATAAGACCATTTAAGACCATTTAGCCAAAACAGCCTCAAGGAGACATTTTTCTGCACCTACACTAATACGGCCATGTCACTGCTAGTGCAATTGTGTGTCGGTGAGCATACAAACATACAGCAAGTGCAGTGTCACACTGTGGATGCTAACCACAAAACTGCAATTAGTATTTGTGACTCGGTGTATGAGTAAAGAAAATTTTACCAAAGTTTAGTCTGTCAGTGCTATTTTATGTGGAGAAAGAGGTGCTATGTAGAATATTTAGACTTGTTAATCGTCCAGACTGCAGGGAAACAGGAGGAAAATGCAGAAGAAATCAGAACCACTGCTACAGTCAGTGAAGTGCAAGTTTGAGTCATTGTTTTGCTTTGATTTGATCTCAAATAATGAAAACAGCCTAAAAGTAAATCACTGCACATAGATAAAATGTTGTCGTCTAAAAAAAAGATAGCAGTTGTCTACAGTGTACCCATTTCCACATACAGGAATGTAAGTTTGTCTTTCATGTGTGTACATACCACCGACTGGGGCCTTACCTGGGATTTTTCTCTTGGTGGTTTTGTGCCTTTTGACTTCAAGCTCTAAGAGGTCACACAGCGCCGTCATATCGATGAGAGCCAACTGACGCACCTTCTTCATGTCAGTGTGGGAGAGATCCTGGATACGAGTGACTCCTAAACGGCACTTGGTGTGGATCACCCGCTGAGGAGGAGAGAGCACAGGGGGACAAAAATGAAAAGAGGGGATTGGAGTCGAGAGGTGGACGGAGGATATGAAGAGGAAGACAAAAAACATTCAACACAAGTAAAAGTTAAAGGAAGAGGAAAATGGATACTGTGATATTATACATTCATTGTTTATGTCATTCCCATGAAGTGTCTTCATGTAAATGTGGTAATGGCATCAGTGCATTTATAATTAGCCAACTAATTCCTCCCTTTTTGCTGAAGGAATGTATTTAGCCTGAAATAAAAAAAAACAAATCTACTGGACTCTGTGACACAACAACTCTCCTTTTGTTTGGAGGTAATTCCCTCATTCCTTTATTCTGCTTAACCCTGTTATGGCATTGTTGCCTCACAGCAGGAAGGTTTTAATACTACCAAGCCTAATTACAATAACAACTACAATTTAGGCAAAAGTCATGGACCCGAACTTCCACAGTTTCCCAGAAGGCAGCAGGATCAACGGTCACCCTGGAAACTGATAGGGGGAAAGTGTTTGGGAGCTTACAGGCAAGGTCGCATCCTCTTTCCTCCTTTGGCTGTTGTTCTGTGACAGTTTGGTCTGTTTGAGGAAGAGGACAGCCTGTTCGCAGTAAGCCACATCAGTGATGAAGAATTCCTCTTTTGGAGCACATCGTTGGTGCTCTGATATCACAGATAAGCGGGAGACAGAGACACATGTGCAAATACCAATTAGCGCATTGTAGAGACACACAAAAAAACCAAACAAATAAACAGAATTTATTTATTTGGCAGAAGTATCTGTTGTGGAACGTTTAAATGTTTAGCAGTCAATACTCTGAACTGTTCATATAAATAAAATAATAATATTACAGATGCCACTATATATTGTGGCAAAGGTGGATCCAGAATTGCATCACACTCCCTTTTGATATTATTTTTGTATCTAAAAACACTGTCCAAGATGTTCATATGTTCACATCTCCAGTTTTCACTCTTATGATGTCAACGAGTGATTCACAAAAGCAGGTGCATGATGAACGTTTTGTAAGAACTGTTCTCCAGTTTTTCTACATACTAAAGCATTAATGTTATTACAAAAAACTGAAATTTGGCAAATGACCTCATGGACTTTCTCTAGTGGCAGCATGTAGAGACAAGGAGGTACATGGGGATTAGTCTGAACCAAGTAGAAGACAAATCCAGACAAACAATCAGGTCCTGACAAATCTGCTGCTCACCTGACTTCAAATATGACAAGACAATGCTTTCGTATTTGATTAAACCTAGCAGGGTTGGTTATAGCCTAAAGTACTGTTTTGACTCAGTTATATTATTAAAATAACTGCTTGATTTTTACATTTTTAAAGTGGCTTTGAGCAAACTTTCACTTACTTGTACTTCCCTTTTGTTACCTGGCAGTTTTAAGTTTGGCCTAATTTTACATTGCATGTTAAACTGTGTAGCTCTTACCTGATAGCGGTGTTTTGGTAACCGATGCCATGCTGTTTTGGGCGAGGTCTTCACTATGTTGAGACTCAGGCAAAAGGGTCTGGTGAGACAGAACATTTACACATCACAACACTTTCTGTAAGCAGAAATTTTAGTTAAAAATATCAGCTCTGTAAATATTTTCTCCACAATCGGTAACGCAAGTAGTGTTTTATTTTGTCCACTGAGCAGATGGACATTGATACAAAGACCGTTTCTGGTGATAAGAATCAGAGGAACAGTGTCTGCATTCCCCTGTGAGGGCATCTCAGACAGACAGGGAGGACAAAGATCGACCTTTATATGTGAGTTTCTTTTATTGTCACAGCTCCAATGCATGTATCAAGACAGCACAATACACAATAGGAAGTCCCTCACTGAGTCCTGACAGCCACCTGGGAAATGGGTATTATATATTTTACTGCATACAACTGTGACACAGGCTTCATGTTGCTGTAAACTTGTAAACAGCACAACAGTAACCCTGAGACTGGAAACACGGGCAATAATTAATTTGTGTGTATAAAGGAAAACGAAACATCTGGGTACATAAAAACTACGGATACAAGATACATATGGAAAACGAAACATCTGGGTACATAAAATCTACAGATACAAGATACATATAGCCATAACATTATGACCAGTGACGGGTGAAGTGAGTTGCATTGATTATCTTAGTATAATGGCACCTGTCAGTGTGTGGGGTTTATTAAGCAGGAAGTGAACTTTAGGTCATTGAAGCAGATGTGTTGAAAGTAGATAAAACAGTCAGATGTAAGGATCTGAGTGACTCTGACAAGGGCCAGATTATGATGGCTAGATGATTAGATCAGAGCATCTCCCACACTGCAGGTCTTGGTGGGTCTTCCTGGTCTGTGGTGGTTAGTACCTAACAACAGTGTCTAAGAAAGGACAGACGGTGAACTGGAGACAGGGTCATGGACGCCCAAGGCTGACTGATGATGAGGTTGACCTACTGTAGGTAAATACTGATGATGAGGTTGAGCTACTGTAGACTAAACTTATAAATTTCACTCATCCTTTTCCAATTTTGTTTGAATTTTTGTGAAATGGTTGAAAATGAGAAACACTGTACATTGGTCTCTATGAAGAGAAACATTCAGCAGCTATAGTGGTGATATCACACCTAGAGTGGGGAGGCTGTTGAATTTGTTTAAAAATGATCTCTAACTCGTCCTCATAACCACAGTTTTCACTCCTTTTACATAAGTTTTTCAATGAATTGTAGACATGTCTGTGATCTTCCTGACAGTAGAACTGTGGAAGCAAATGGATTCTTCACAGAAGATGCACAGTGAGCTGCAGAATGACATGAGAGCCAACCAACTGACACACTGACTCCTTTGTACAGTATTAAACAGGCACAGTTTTCACTCCTTTTACATAAGTTTTTCAATGAATTGTAGACATGTCTGTGATCTTCCTGACAGTAGAACTGTGGAAGCAAATGGATTCACAGAAGATGCACAGTGAGCTGCAGAATGACATGAGAGCCAACCAACTGACACACTGACTCCTATGTACAGTATTAAGCAGGAGGTCATAATGTTATACCTGATGGGTGTACATATATGCATGTATATTACTTTACATTCCAAACAACAGTTACATTTAGAACTACATCAATTTACAGTGTAAAGGTTTGTATTTCAAAGTGCCAACCTGAGTGATGGGGGAGTTGAAGATGTCACGAACGTCGCGGGGTGCTGGCTTGTTCCTTTTACGTAGGGACAGTGTATAGGAATCCAGTCGACGCTGGACGGTCGCAGCCTGGGTCCGCGTCAGAGTGGACAGCAGAAACACGTCTACATCCTCGCTATCGTCGCTGATGAGAGTTGACAACCCAGCATCAGCCAACCACTGCTCATCCTGTTCACTATCTGAGACACACACAGATGACACGCATGGAAGAATCCAAACATACCATGTGTACATGCAATGCAATGTAAACCGGTTGCTAGGAAACATCTGTAGTGCTGTCCAACCAAAAACAACTGACTATGAAAACAAGAATTACAGAAGTCAGTAGTAGGTGTGACTTTTTTCATTTACCTAGGCAAAGATGTTTCAGAGTTAGAAATGCTTGTTAAATACACTGATCAGCCATAGCATGACCACCTGCAGCTCCACCTGTGTATCTTCTGTGGATCTGTTTGCCTCAATAGTTACAATGTCAGGAAGAGCACACATTTGTCTACCATTCAGTGAAAAATGTATGTAAAGGAATGAAAACTATGGTTGTGAGGGCAAGTGAGACATAATTTTATAGACAAACAGCCTCCCTACTCCAGGTGTGATATCACCACTATAGCTGCTCAGAATAAGGAGGCATGATTACACACAAACACACATCTAAATCCAGACTTCAGAGGATTTACTCATTAGTGAAAGATGAATCTAAAACTGTCTCTGTTACATCAAAAGAATCTGTTAAGGGCAGAATAACACAATCAGATCTTTTGAACAGACATAATAAAAGAGCATTTTCATCAAGTCATTCATGAATGGCTATTTGGCGTGTGCATATAAAACAGTGCAGGCCGCAGTGTTTGATATTGTTGTCATGGTGATAGCTACTTTGCTGCATGAGGGAGACCTGGTATGTTTCCATGGCAAATGTATCATTTCATGGAGAGTTTCAGTAGCAGCTGTGTTGAATATTAAAGGTTTGTAATTCTATCACAATATATAAATATATATACATATATATATATCTCACATTGATTTCTTAACAAGCTCTTTTTATCCATTCTTAATCTACCAGCCCAGGATTTGCAGTATTTACCTTCTGACTGTCTTGACTCTCCCCTGCTGCACTCGAGGTCTGTGTAGCCACTCCCCTGTTGGATGGTCTCCACCTCACTCCAGAATGAGTCCAGACAGAGTTTGTCGGGGTGCTGCTCCTGATCCTGGGAGGGTGGTGTGTCTGGGCTGTGTGGGCGTTCAGCAGCTGCCTGGTCCTTCGGACTGGCCCAGGGCTCCACGCTCATCTCGGTGGGGCTGGGATCTCTGGTGCAGATATACACACACGTAAAGAAATCACACGCATGCATGCAAACAAATGAGCAGAAATACAAAGACACATACAAATACAGGACGAATAGTGAAGACTGAGGTGATGCCGGGAGGATGAATCAGTCAGGGAAGCTCAGAGAGATGAAGAGACAAATGGAGCTGAATGGAGGGAGGGCCAGAGTAAGGGGAGAGCCGGCAAGAGCGGACACAAAGGGGTGTCTCTATTGTTCCTGCAAAATGTGACCTAGAGGCAATGTACCCTGTCAAGCCACTAGATGTCACTATAAAAATGTGAAGTTCTTTTTCCTGGGGGTTACGCCCCCCTATCAACTGAAACAGATAAATGAATCTAACACACTAGCAATGTAAGGTTAAACATGCAACAAACTACTTCCGAGTACAGAAAAATAAATAATCTAACTCTGCTTTCAGTTTCCTGAGCACAAGTGATGTAGGACACAACAACAGAGGATACTGTTCTCTAAGAACAATGGGCCACACTCAGCTAGTTGACAGATTTGCACCTTCAAGGACTAAAATGTGAACTGGTGATCACAGACAGAGGAAGAGGTCAGTGACTCATTCCATCAGTGTGCGGTTCAGTCACATTCTTGTAGTCAGCATATCTCAAGAGACATACCAAACCATACTAGTCCGAGTTAGGAATGCCAGATGGCTTCTGATGCGAGCATGAACGAATCATAGTTGTCTGAGCCAAAAATACCCGTCATACTTTCAGCTGTAATTCTATGATCTTATCAAGATGATCTACATACATCGACTGCGAGTCAGTTGAAGCCAGTTCAGATCAGGTTTTTTCCAGACCAGCGTTTTGGTGTGTGAAACCAGTTTTGTGGGGTGTCAGAGTGGAGTCAAAGGGGTAGGGGTGATGGGGTGGCTTTCATGCAAGGGACTGTGAATTTTATTTAATTCAGTAAGAGATTCTTGTGTAAGCATGTAACAGCCATAAAATTACGATAAATAGAGCCTGATTTCTATGTTTGGTCACATACTGCACTAGACCATCATATGCAAACAAATTGATGCAATATAAAGCAACAAACAATGCCAGTGAATGTCACTCAATAATGTAGCAACTGTCAACAGCTGGGTGAACAAAATCAGAGTGTAATCCAATATGCAATTCTGCTAGAATGTCATAAAACATATACACTATAAATAAAATGGATCATATTACTTTACCCTTTTCTAAACCGGTATGGTCGCTGTACATTCCAACATACTGTATACATATAATGTGAAGTGACAGAGCCATTCAGTCCAATCACTACTTTCACAGGAAAAATAAAACACAAATGTTTGAGTGGTTTTTTGAGCTTTTTCCAAAAATACATCCTCCCATGAAATTAGTGAACTAAACCAGACATTAAATACAGTTGTAAAAACAGATGCACAGACTGGATTTGGATCAGCGGCGGTACTGACATCAGTGAAGTTGTTAGGTATTGGCAGACAAGACAGGTCTGGTGACTATTTTTCTGATCATTTAATTATGTTTAGTTTGTAAAATGTGAGAAAATAGCAGAAAAACGCTCATCATGCTTGGAGCCTAATGTTGCCTCTTCATATGCTGCAGATCACTGAGGAGGTCTTCAAATACTCAAAGATATTCTATTTCCAATTTTATAAAATGTGTTTGTCATGTATGCTTTGACTTAAACAGTTGATTAGTTATCTCAGTTATTGTTGACAAACCTTGTCAGTAGACTAACTGCTTCAGCATGTTGTTGCATGACCATCTTAATTAAAGTTAATAAGTGATGTGGAATTACAGACATATTGTTTCCTACCATAGATAGAGAAGAAATATCTCAATAGTTCCACACAGATTTTAAGTTGAAATAGAAAATATAGTATCTAGAATCAGAACTCAATATCAGATAATAATCTCAGCTTAGGTATGAGAATCAGTATTGTGAGGAATGAGTGGCAGTGGTTCCTAATAAGGCATGTGGACATAATAAAAGCTGCTCTGGCTTACTGTACCCTTCACACACACCTGTTCAGAGGCATTACATGTGCTCACAACCTGACACTCTCATGGATCTAATTCATGAAGCTTGATAAATCAGTGGTCTACAGACAGCTGACTCACAGCAGTGGACTCTTGCTCAGTAGCCCCATCGGCTTAGAATTCTAATTACATGAAACTATTTTTCTTAAAAAAAACCATCTAATTTATTTTGACATTAAGCTCAAAAAACCTTCTTTCTATCCCACAAATGAAGGCTTGTTTGCAAACTGTTAAAAATAATTGTCATATAGTTTAAATGTTAGTAAAAAAAAAAAGGAATAAAAGAGTCAACATCTAAAAACATTTGGGAAACACAGTCTGCATGGCATTAAGTACACGCACCAGAACATCACAGTTCACTGTAGGTTAGTAACACAAAGTGCCATCTACACAACTTCACATCACAACACAAAAATGCTACTGTCTTTTCACACATACCTGGCCTTTTTCTTTTGAGAAGGTGACTTCATGGACCTGGCCCTCACTGTGTTTAAAACAGGATGGAGCTTAAAACGGCTCAACCTGGTGCGTGGAAATGGCATATTGGACTCCGGCCTGGTCACCGTTACCTCCTCTCTGCCTCCCATATCCACAATGCAAAAGTAATCCAGGAATTATAGTCCAGCACAAACCCTAACTTTATCGAGTCCTGGTGTTCGGACACCATGTGAGTGCAATGCAAATCTGTTCACTGCTCCACTTGTTCTGTTCAGTAACAGGAAGTCGTCTTTACTGAGACGTGTTAGTGAGCTGAATGAAGCTGACAAGCAAGAGCGAGTGACAACTCCTCAAACAAATCTTTCACACCTGTCCCCTCCCTCGCTACTCTACAGTGACACGCCCTGCCTGCATGCCTGAAACTGAAATCTATTACATGCTACACTAAAACCACTTAGGTTGAAACACAACAATAATATCCCTTGTTCCAGAGTGGTCCACATTAGTAAAAGCTGGCTAACTTTAATTTCCACTCACATGTATATCTCAGACACTTTATGGGTCTTTGAAAGTTACACTTTACTCTCTAGTTGAGCTGATTAATCAAGGATTCTTTGTTGAAAAGATGAGGGATGTTATCACCTCTTTGCATTGTGATTACTGTCCAGAATTAAGTTAATCAAATACATCAAAGGATGAAAAAGTTGTATTCTTTTTCAAACTCTTTACTTAAGCTGCACTGCAAAGAGATAATCTCAAATCAGCTAACACATACTTGTGGTGTGACGGCCAGTGACGTGGTGTGCTAAATCAAATAATGCCTTATATGCAGAAGACAGCTGTCTGTTCACCTACTGTACCTTTCACAACATCTGAGCATGACTAAAATGTTGATATAACTGTCAGGTGGCTGTGTGGGGAGGTGATGCATGAGTGTGAGGCAGAATTAAAGAAACAAACAGTATCTCAAGTTTCTCAAGTGCGACAGGTCTGTCAACATTGACTGTGAGCAGCACAGTAGCCCCCATCCCCCCGAACCCCTCACCAATTCACGGCCTCGTCGGCACATTCTCATTCTTTCTTGTCAATCACATTACAGCTGAGGATGTAAACACTGATAAGGTGAGGGGGGGAAAAGTGAGAAAAGATGTAAACACTGATAAGGTGAGGGGGGAAAAGTGAGAAAATCATTCCACTGGTTTAGTGACAACTACTAGCTTAACGCACTCACACATTTAACTCGTTCTTCATCTGCTAATGCATGACTTAATTGTATGTGCTTAAAAGAAAAACTTAATGGAACAGTTTTGGAAATGTACTTCCAGTGAACTTCAACTAAAACCTGTTGTACAGCTTACAAGGAAGTTACCTCATCCGCTACAGTGTGTTATGGTATATGACGCTGCTTTTTATTTCAATATGTATCTTGAATAAAGGTTTCAGACTCTTGAGCCGACTCTTAACTACTGAAATCATAACTCCTTAACTAACTTCAAACTATAAATGTCATCAGCCTCGCCATGGAATACTCCCAGAGGACAACTTATAAAGAGGCACATAGAAGGCTTTGAACCTATTTTTCTCTGGCTTCCTTGTTTTGCATCAAGAACAAGTGGAAAAGCAACACTGACCCTGTTTTTAAACCTGATAATAATAGTCTTCACCTTGCCAGCAAATTTTAAAACTCAGCCACAAAACAATGTTCCATACTACCTTTATGAATAGACAATTAAAAGAAGTATTACAGAAAATGTCAAGGTGCTGGAATTGTTCCTTGTTGAATGGACCTCCTATTAACACCGAATAAAAAGGAAAACATTTACGCAGAGAGAAGACTAGAATAAATGTCAAACTGTTGCCTAATGTCAGCTGGTGGGAAATAACACACAGTAATCTCACCCAACGACTTGGGTCAAAGAATACAGTAATCCATTTAAAAAGTAGCTTGTGTTGAAAGCAACACAGTGTTTAATCCTTGTGGCCAAATTCCACTGCAAGCCTCTTACTTCAGGGAATTCAACAGCTAGCTCATACTGTGTTGAGAAAGTGCTTCTTCTCAAGGTCTATCACAGTGTGTGGAGGTGATGCCTGAGTGTCAAAAGATATGAAAAATCCTAAACACAGCGACATCACAGCACACCAAAAAGGTCCAAAAAGCAAAAAAGCACCAAAAACGCACAACAGGGACAACAACTAACTAATAATAACAATTTTCTATGGAACACTTCAAACATCTCAGTTACATTAGACTATTGAATCACTGTTTTCACAACTTGACCCAGGACCAAAACACAATTTAGTCTAATATAAACTTAATCCATACATGAGCCTCAGGTCCAGCAGACCCTGAAGCAGCAGCGGTCCAGTCCTACCTGGCCTTGGCCCGCCCAATGGCTCTGCCCGACAGCAGCAGCAGGGCCGCCGAGCCACTTCTCCCCCACGGCATCCTACTGCAACTGCTGCAAGCTGTAGGAAACAGCAGCTGCCTGCCCCTGGCAAGCTGTTTCCTTGTAACCTCTTCAGTACACAAACACATTAGAACGCAGATAGTCTCACTGCACTCGCAGGCACGTCACTACATTATCCTGGGGCAGGAAAGGAGGTCTCCATGGGGGAAACGGGGGAGGGAGAGGAGCTAGGAGATTGAATAGCTGACCGGGCCTAAAACACAGGCAGAGGGAAGAGACTGTCTGAATGGCTGGTTGGATGGATGGAGCAGGAGCTGGGAGCTGAATGGATTAGGCAGGGGACACAACAGCTGCATGCCTGACTGGCCTGCTGGCTGGACGGCTTAAGTTACATTAGGGCTGCATCCTTTCCACCGTCGGGACAAAGACAAGTGGAAACCATCCTTTATTCTAATGGCATCATGCACACTCATTCATTTACTGAGCACAGCAGTCCTCAGTGTCATCCTCTTTAACTTGACTTCAGTCTTTATGGTTTTCATTGGTAACTGAGGTCATGATCCAGTTTGCTGTTACTTATTTACAACATGGTTGAATGCCAGTGATTAGCAGTGAGGACTCAGCTTGGCTGTGCTAAGTGGTGTCAACAGATCATTTTAAAGACAGCACAAAAGAATCAGCAGCTCTTGAACTTTGGATCTAGAAACAGAGAGGGTCTTTTGTTGATGGGGCATAAACAACACACAATGAAAGCTGTATCCTCTGTGTGTGTTTAGTTATTTTTTTCAGCATGACCTGGTTTGAAATGGTTTAAGACTAAACTTCAGATCTGACTTTGTTTTATAAAGTCAACCTTCCAAATGAAAAAGATCCCTGGGTCCAGTCTGCATCTGTCTTGAGAGCCAAAACATGGTAAACACAAAGTTAGGTCATGGTGCTGTGCATAGATAAATAGAAATCAACGGCCAAAACATCTGAGTCTTGCTGCAGCTGTGACCACTTGACTCTCAGCTAAATGTTGTCTGTTACATGCTATTAATATTAAATTTGCATGTATTATCATTCAACCCACTTCAAATTGCACTTGTAATTTTACTGTTTGAATGCGATTTTTAATAATTCGTCTTATTGTCTTTAAGTAATTGCCTTAAGCAAAACATTGCCTTTTTTGGCAACAGCTACAGCAAAGATGTGTGGACAAATATTTGATTTTCTATTTGAAAAGGACACTTTATACCCAAGATAATAGGGCCACCCTCTCCTGCTGGAAAATGTCAGTGGCTCTTACTGTCCTCTGTCCTGCTCTTTACCTGGACATCTACACATTTGAGCGTTATATAAAAGGATACTTGGCGCTGAATCAAACTAAGACAGATGCTGGGTTTGTTATGGCATCATAATCAACCTCAAAATTAAATTATAATGAAATTCATTAAGTTTGTTTTTGTGTGAGAGAGAGCTTGGGAGCTCAGTATAAAGAACAGTACCATGGCAGTATTAGGAAATCTTTAAATCCTACAGAATCTATACAGTATTTTTAGGAAAATATGTGAGCTAATCAATGCTATAAAACTGATAATATGAAATTGCAGAGTTCCTGTAGGAAGGAAGTCGAAACACAGAACCAACTGGCATTTCATCTGGTCTGTCTGAAATCAGATTAGGGCCCTCTCTGTTGTACACTTTAAGGTCTTTAGTGGGATCCATAGTCTGCTCTTTATGCTGCTGGTGTCTCAGCTCTCTGGCAGTTTGCTCAGCCACTTCTTAGACTCTGTTCGTCCCTAACCAGATCAACACAGATTAGAGAGACCACGGTGCTGCCTCTTGGTGAGTTTGCCTGCCTCGCCAGTTCTCTCTGCTCACACTATTTGTTATTTCTCTGTTCTCCACTTTTAGACTAGAGTGACATCCAGAGCCCTCATGTTATGGCTCTCAGTCACTCTCATCTTGATTTCCCTTCAGGTTAAACCCAGTAATCCCACCATATCCACCCTCCTGTAACCACAGGTCAGACCACACTCTTTTCTCTTATAGTAAACCAAAGCCCTTCTTGCCCCATCCTTCCTTAAAATGTCAAAATGTTTCTTTCCTTTCTCTTGAATCATCCCTGACTATCATCCCTAGTAAGTTAAACCCTTTCTCACCTCCTCTGACAATCCTCCTTAGCTCACAGTCATGGCTGGAGAAAAAAGGAAAGTGGAGAACGTGATGGCATATCTCCTTATGACCCTGCAGATGGCATGTGACAGCCGGATCAGACTTGTGCCCTGCTCGTCCACCTTTGTGGAGTGGGGGAATAGAGAAGGGAGAACAGAACGTGGAGCAGATGTGAATAAAGGAGAGGGGGAAAGGAGGTGAATTATGACAGAGGATGATAAAGGAACATAAGAGGTGGTAACAGGAAAGGAGAAGGATATGACAAAAACCCCAATGCCACTTTTCATTACAACAGCATTATTGGTCTCTGCTGCCTCTTGCAGCTCTTTATTTATTGGCTGATTCTATTAACCAAAAAAGGAAAAACTAAGGTTCATCTGATCAATGTTCAAAAGGTAAATTAGAACTGAGATGATAAAAAGAAAAAGGGCTCCAGGCCAAGGCCAGATACATCAAGGTGTTAGACCATCAAGTGAATGGTGACACAGAGCCACAGTAATGCTGCACGTCACAAACACCAGTAACTCCACACATAATCAAAAACTTGGTTGCATGCCAGCGAATGTGCAGCAAACATGTACAGACACACAAGTGCACAGGAACAAATGTTCTGCAATGCACATGGTGACATCAAACATTCACTGGATGCAACTGATGCAGGTTTGTTTTCAGTCTGATGACCACAACACAAGATGCAAATCTGTCGTGAACAGTCATGAGCACAAAAGATTTTTATGGGATGAAAACAACAAGCCATGCACGTGTGATTTATACATACACACAGGCCGCAGTGTGCTGCAGTGATGGAAGTCCTGCGTCACGCTCACGGTGACGTGAGTGTTCCCACTTGTCATTATCTATGGCTGCAAAGTTTGGCACATTAATGCTTCTGGGTGGTGTAGCTCAATCCTTTCTGAAAACACAAATCACAAGTGACTTGAAGAAAGCTTGGAGCATCTGGTCATACAAACATACTGTACTGATGCATCACTCAAAGTGCATCCATGAGCAAAGCACTAAAAGGAAATGAATGTTTAAAAAGAAACTAGATCTACATAACAGCATAATTTCACACGTTTTCCCATATTTGTGCATCACTGATATTTTCTTTTGGTCAAAAATGTTCTTATGGCATGATTTCACCCAAAGCATAGATTCTTAACTTCCGTTTAAGGAACTAAATCAATAAATGACTATCCAGTGAGACTGTTTTAGAAAAAAACTTTCAAAATGGTTCCCACTGCTCAGCATACTGTTCTGTCAACTGCCTCCTGCACATACAGTACATACAGATTTAGCTAACAAAGGTTGGTATGAAAGATACGCAGGTCTCATGAGTTTAGACTGATAATAACCACCTTTGGTCTGATGGCAACAGCTTGTACTCTCAAAAAAGACACTGTGACACATGGCTATGAATGCCTTGAACTTTCCCTGCCACCAAGAACTCAGGTACATTACATCAATCATTCAATTCATTTTGTTGTTGATCTTCAATCTTACTTGACAGTTTAAGAACCTTAGTATTATATTGCATATTGGCAATGAACTGAAAAGCAGGCAACAAAGCAGCAAGATGATCTGCTGCATGTAACCATAGCAGTCCTAATGAACAGATCAACAGCAGCTTCCTTGACCACATCCCCTCCACCTACCCATTTCACACACACCGTCTGTCCTTTGTTGTCACTTGCTAATGGCAGCAGCTGCAAACATCAGAGGGACACAATAGATATTTCATTTCCTTAACTTGGACATAATTATATGTTTGTCTGATTCCATATTCTTTCTATTTGTTAACAAAAATCAGTGTGTCATCCTGTTAAGTCTCTTGCAGCAGCTACAGGGCTTAAGCTACTATAAGATGGAATACTTACTCCTCTCCTGCCATATGGAACAAGAGTGGATTATGTGAACTACTTTGCATGTACTCTTACTGTTTAGACTTAGAGGCACACACCATGTGGCCTGGCTCTTCGGGTAAAAATGACCTAAAACAACAATACTGTCCATATGATCTTGTCAAAGTACACAACCAGAAAAAAAATTGGAGTTTTAAATCCATAGTTCTGCAGCAGTAAAAAAATAATTTTAATGAAATCCTTTAAGTCACCAACCTGTATGTAAAAGGAAGAAATGCTCTGAGAAAGGGATATAACCAAAATATGTCAACAATGCAAAGCTCTATAGACATTTTTTACTTTGATGGTGTGCTAAATATTTCCATTTCTGATCTGGTGCATATGTTAAAGCATCCCACCAAAATAAACTGATGCTTGTTTGTTTCATTTAAGCAGGTACTCACCACAATACCTACAGTGAAACCAAAAATTGAAATAACTTTAAAATAACATATATATATACATTATCACCATTTGTCACCCTCTTTTTTGAAAGTTTAATTTTCTAGCTCAGTGGGACACATTTGTTGGTGCATCCACATCAAAACTTTGTGAGCACTTTGTCCTATTTGTCTTTCATTCTTGGTTGCATCATTTCCTTTCATGCCTCTCCTCTGCTTTCTTTCATATTTTTCATATTTTTAATTTCAGTTTTCCTTTACTCATGAGTCATTTTCCTGCCAGCAAATTAATGTAGTAATAATTACAACTGCAGTGTCATTTACTAATACATACTGTAGCTATATATTTACTCATCCCACTAATAAAACTAAACTGACCATTAATTACTGTTGTAGCATTCTGACTGACTGACTCATTGCTATGAGAAGCTGTCATGCAACACTCCACTTAGGCCACAGTTTGAGAGCTGACAGTCATCATTGTTAATATTTCTGCAGTGAAATCTAGGAAGACTCTTGCCCTTCATCTATATTTGTTGCTGCACATGCAAGCAAAGAAAAGGTCCATAGCAACCGATCCCGACACCCCAGCAACCAGAAACGCTTCCCAACCGGCGAAGAGACATACAAAGCTAGAGGAGAAATTACGCACAAAGCACGTAAAACTAGTTCGGTGAGTTATCTGCCACTGATCCACACAACCTCTGGTCCAAGATAACATCAGTGATTTAATCCAGAAATAATTCACTGGTTTTAACAAATTGTATGCCAGCACTGAAAATGTGCACATCGGAACCAGTAAGAGAAGCAGTTTAGTTACCTGAGAAAACACGGTCGACATCCCCGGTGTGCGAGGGCTCGACTGAGCGTGAAAAGGGGATTTTTTTTCCATGTGAGTGAATCTTGCTGCGAACAGTGCCAACAAACAGATGGCGGAGGAGAAGCTGGAGTCCAGCCTGGCAGGTGAGATGAGAGTCTGCGCTGCCACGTACATCGCCGGTCCACTTCATCCGTCTCACCTTGCGAATGACGTCACCGCGCCTGGCTCCACAACAACAACAGTGCCCCAATGACGAGAACATCACCAGTCACCTCAATGGTCTGAAGCTACTGCAAACCACCTAAACTACCATTGCAGTACCACGTGATTAGCAAAATTAGAATGATAGAAGACCAATTTTCTTAAAAGATAGGTCAAAATGAATTTCAAGCCTGTCTTCAAGCAATAGACATGAAGGAATACAGGTAAACAGGGGTCCCACTAATAATACAGGGGGAAGGTTGCATGAATCTTTCTAAATCAAAGCATCATTTTACAATAGTCCTGTCTTCCCTGTGGAATAAAGCAATGTAGGCAACATCAGCCTGTCATACCTGTGGGTGTAATGGATAATGTGAAAGTAATGAACTGTCTCAATGTAAAGGAGTAAAATGCAGAATAATCATCAGTGAATGGGACCTGTGCTATGACTTTCATGGCCTCAATCTGGGTGAGGCCCATGGGAACAGGAGCAAACATAAAATATGAATAATATCTCAGCCTGAGTGAGTAAATAAGACATCATGACAGAATTCTTGGCACACGATGTACTTACTGTAAATGTCAGCAACAAATTCTTGGCCTTCATTCACTAACTCCATTCACTAGTTAAGGCCATAGGTTATGATTAAAAGTCAGAAAATTTCCAGTAAGTGCACCTATCTCCAAGGTCACTAGTGAACCTTCAAGATCACACACAACAATGTATCAGCTACCTTAAATAGCAAATGCTATTAGAAAGATGCTAATATGAAGTGTGCCTTTAATTCATGAGTATCTTTTACACATTTAGCCAAACCTATCATGTTCACTCCTGCCTTCTCACGGCTCTCTAATTTACAGTATCTATGGATATCCCATTTCTGACATATTGTAAACCCAGTCTCATTCACTCCACCCCTGTAATGTGTCCAGTTGCAGCTCATAGCTGGAAAGATCATTCCTCCTAGGCAGATATATACTCTTTGCCATCCTGTTTTTGTTTTGATTGTCTTCTCAGCTTTCTTGCAGACAGCCCGGTTCATTCCAGGGCTGTAGGCGTAAATGTTTATGCAAGCATGTTTCTGTGTGAGAAGGAGAGAGAGAATGTGAGGTGAAAACAGACTCAGACAGAAAAAGATAGAGAGCACAGAGAGGGCCAGTAAGGCAGCCCACTCTCTTCCTGCCATTGTTTCACCGTCCACATGAGGCTCGACTGGGCTGCGCCTCCTGGACATCAGCTTGCTCCCCCTCCTGTTGGTCCACTCCTTCTACAGCTACTCTGCGTTTCCATGGAGACAGAGAATATGCCTGCAGATGACTGCATCCCCTGCTAGAAGGTATTCACGGAGACAATAATGCAGCACAACCTAAAATTCTGATGGCTAAAAGAGCAGCATGAACTCAATTCATGTGTGGAGTCACAAGACAATTGTAATTTTGTTTTTGTTTATTAAATTGTAAGGATTCACATTCCATTGCTCTCCAATGAAAACCAAGTATCTTCGAAATGTCAGCTGTTCATGAAATAATAAAAACAGCCTTGTTTTGAATTTATCACAGTGCAAGTGTAGATCATTTTAAATGATTTTAGCCACACCGACATGAGTGCTTAGAGATGGCAATGTCTGTTACTTGGTTCAGGCAGTTTAATTAACAAGCTTGGGCCAACATTGCACATACTACGGCATCATAATATGGTACAATCTTAACAAAGAATCGACTGGGTCTGTCCTGTATATAGTCACAAGACAATCCCTGGCATCTACCTTCAAATTCTAGCCTGGTCTAGGTACCTTTAATAGTGCATCTACATTTCTGCAGCATCTTATGGAGAGACTAAAATGCACGCTTTCAGACCCCATGGAATGTTGTACAGTCTATGAGAGTAGTCATGTTTGAACTACATATAGTAGTCTAAAATGTCCTAGCTATTCCTGGCATTCAACCATGACCACCTGCTTTTGAATGTAACATATATAGATGGTGTAATCCTAAACTCATGGTAAGCAAAATTGCTAACAATCTTACTGCGCTCATGTGTTCCCTGACTTTTTATAGCAGCACCAGCCAGTTTTTACTTATCCAGTGAAATTTCTCATTATGTACTTGATAGATTACCAAAATGTGTGCAGACATTCCTGGTTCCCAGAGGATGAATTCTAATGTCTTTTGTGATCCCCACTTCTCCTTCAGCACCGCTATGAAGTTAATGTTTGTGGGTTTGGGTGAAATATCTCAAGTTATTCAATGACTTGCTGTGAAATTTGGTACAGACATTAAAGGTTTTTACAATTTCAATTTGTCCAAAGTAATTGGGCCTTAGACATAGGTTAATTGTCTGAACCCACCCAATATCAACCACTTAATCCTTCATCTTATCTAAAAGTCACCAGACATGGAGATAGATTTTTTTTTAATGCATATGAGAGCCATGGAAAAGTGTGAAACATATGGGCCTAAGAAAGAATTAAAAGAAAGAATAAAATCTCTTACCATATGTTACTTGATTACCATTAAAAAGCTCTTCAGGTGCATGATGACCTACTACTGATGTGTGTCTTTGTCTGTTTGTTGTGTATCAGAACAAATTTGCATATGTGCTTGAATGCGTTTGCCACTCAATTCATATTTGCACCTTTACATGAGGATGTTTGTGCTCATTGCATGTTTACCCTCGTGTAAAACAAATGCCTTAATGAAGCTTTATCTGAAGGGAGGAACCCTATCTGTGCTAATGATCAGGGTAGCTTCCTTTAACACAGCTACATTTCCACCCTTGAGCCATTTCACTGACTCTTTGTTTGATACCTGGTTTCAGTCAGACAGAAACACAGGAACAATTGTTTATTTCCCCTGATCAGAAAAAATTGTTGATGCTTAGGTTTTTCATTGGATTACATACTAACATGTGTGCTCTAAGCTGGATTGTTAAATTGCTTAAGGTACTCAGCTGCTTTACTGTAGTAGGCCTGGGAAAAGGGCCAGACATCTGCTGTCTTGTTTATTCTGTTTCACATCACAACAGCACGTGTGGTCTGTAATGTATTCTCCTGTGAATTCACTGCAAACGCTCCTGTTCGCTGAAGTGAAAAAATGAGTGAAGGTTTAGCAGCATTTTCTCAAGTCAATATGATGAGTTTGGTGTATATGTCACACATTAATATTGCACATATAGTAATTAGTTTCCTGAATGATGTTGCAAAAACTCAATGCAGCCATATAATAAATTGTTTAAAAATATAATTATTCATTGTTTCTTTATGTAAACAGCGTAGGTTAACAATTTCAACATTCAGATGCAGTGTCACAGCTTAGCACAGTTTTTTTTTTTTTTTTTTGTCATTTGTGGATTTTTTTCCTGCTTTTTCTTACAAAGAAGAGACTTAACATGAGTGAGGCAATTACTTGAATCTGCAGACAATGGACACTAGTCAAACAGGGCTAAAACACTTGTTATATTTAACCACCTCTCCCCCATTCATGTTAATATCCTGCTTTGGGATTAACCCTGATTTTAACTGGGCAGCAGAATATCAGATTTTGAGTGGGCTCTTTCAAACATACCTGCAGTCAAATTAAATTATACTACTGTCATAAAACCCATACACAGTTTTGTTATATACAAATTATGATGGTGCACCAGCCTGTGGCCACTTCTTTTTCTGCTCACCCATGAATAAACACATTATGTCTGGGAAACATGTCACTAGTATAAAGAGTAAGTAGAGTAATGTTTAAACACCATATAATGCTAAACATTGAATGCAACCCCTGTTATACTGTTAATAACTGCTCACTGTGGCCATTTCAAGAACAAGAGCAAATATAAGACAAAGATCATACTTGTGGCTGTCCAAAAAGCAAAACACAGTGCACACTGCAGTTCCACTTTCTTTCTTATTCAGCAGCCTATAATAGCTGTTGCTGATGTAAGTATGAATGGTATGAGAGGGCATAACAGCTCTCAGCCACTTTGCCATTCAGCTATAAAGGGACTGCAGTATAACACCGCACCAGTGTGTCATAATGTGGGTACTACAGAGGAGGCAGCACATAAAGCCCACTTTGTAGTTTTTAGAACAATCAAAAATGTCCCTCAAGACATAAAGACACACAGACAGTGACGTTGGGTGCATGTCATTTCATAACATGTATGAGCAACATAAATATTTGTGCTTTTGTTCAATTTTCAGCACCATAATATCGTTGTTCTAAAGAATTATTTATGTGAAATTGCCTAATTTAGCCACTAGAGGGGGCGCTTAGCTTTCGCTATGCAACCATACACATTGTAATTAGAGGTAATTATTGTGGGAAAGGCGTTTTTTTGTTCCATTTTTTCAATTCAGTTTTATTTGTATAGCGCCAAATCACAACAAAAGTAATCTCAGGATATTTTACAAAGTAAGCTCTAAACCTTACTATTATTATTATTATATTATTATGCACATATGCAAAATCCTGTCCTTGATTTTCACTCGAATACTTTACATTGTCTTGTTTTAGATATTTTTGAAATATAGGTATTTCCCCGATTGCGGTATTAATTATGGGAGTAATATTCTTGTCCTTGATTTCTTATCTCTTGAATACTAAATTTTGTCTTGTTCTTAGGTATTTTGATTTGTTCTCAGAGATTAATTATGGGAAGATCATTCTTGTTCTTGATTGTCTTTCAAATATTATATTCTGTTTGGTTTTAGGTACTTTGGAATATGTTTCTCAAGATACAGTATGTGTGTGGTGTTTGTTCTTGTGGTGTTTTGTTGCTGCTCTCTATTGACACCGGAACACAGGAATTTCCCCACTGTGGGATCAATAAAGTCCTACCTAGAGGAAAAACCCAACAAATCCCCCTTGTTCTGGTGTGACGGGGGTGGGGGCTTAAACAGTCACCATCTACTCAAAATAAATAGCAATCTCTCCCTTAGAGATTTAAATGTTCAAGCATATTTTGACAAGTGTCTATTCATCACTTGCTAAACATAACTGCAGCTGCTTATACTCATGAGCCTCAGGCAGTGGTTACAAGGCTAAGTTCATATTCAAAATGAAATGCATGGTTTCATATCTTATTTTAGAACCAGTGTCTG